ATCCCCAGCCGGACAACAGACCAGTTCAAACCAGCCAGTCATTCCTGATGTCCACTTGTCTGCTGTCCAGAATTGTCTTTTCTTTCAATAATCATGAGGAATATAGAATATAGGCTGAATCCTTCGTCACACACACACACACACACACACACACACAGTAGTAATTGCTTGAGCAATTGAAAAAGGGTTTGTGTGACATTTGACTTGCCCAGGAGGAGGGATCATCATAGCAACAGAGTGTCATTAACATGAGCTGGATCGCAGTCAACGGTTCCCGTGGTGGAAGTGTTCGCTCTGATGAGCTGGAGGAAGACTAATTGGTGTCACACCTTCCCCGTGAGCAGCTGTGTTGCTGCGATAACATACAGATACATGTAGTAAGTGTGTGTGTGTCTGTGCATGCGAGGGGAGAGAGTGCACTGCTGCAATGCAATTTATATGCAAAATGGATACACAGGCGAAAAACATGTATAAAATAAACAGTTAGGACACACAATTAATCAAACACCTCTCTGCACTACATTTCTGTAAGAGGGAAGAGGAAGAGGAAGTGCAAAGGAAAAAAAAAAACAAGTGATGAGAAAAATCAATTTTGTCTGGAGGGGACGAATGAACCCACTTTATTTCTATCATATGACTGGGAAAAGGTGGTGAAGGTGGAGCAGCAGCAGCAGCAGCAGCAGCAGCAGCAGCAGCAGCGGCCTCCTGTAAGTCAACCAACACCACAAAAAGACACCTCTGGAGAGAGAGAGAGAGAGAGAGAGAGAGAGAGAGAGAGAGTGTGTGTGTGTGCGTGTGTGTGCTGAAGACTGATGTGCTGCCAGAACAATATTTGTGTAACATCCGGTGATCCACTTACAACAGACTTTGGATTACTAAAATAAGAATAAGGAGTAAGTCATCCAAATTAAAAACCTCGTTGTTCCTGCTTGACGTAAGCTTTTTCTCTGCTCATGTAAGACAACAAAGCTGCCAGCAGAAAAGGAAATGATCAGGTAGTGTGTGTGGGTGTTTCTCCTTTTTTCTTTTTTTTTAACAACATCTGTGCTTTATTGGAGACAAAGAAACATCATTATGTCTTAATATAATTTTCTTTTCCTCTGAAACTCAATACTTTTTACAGCATAAAATGTGTAATCCTTCAGCCGCTGTTACAGCTCTATTTGTCTTCGAGGCCACCATCACATGAAGAGTAACATTAGACTTGTCCATGTCAGAGGCTGGCTCTAATGGAAGTTTGTCCTGCTCCTGAATGGACTTTTCTGAGGAAAGAGACCAGATTCAGGAGTGAAGGTGTGTGTGTGTGTGTGTCTGTGAGGTTAATGACACTGCCCTTTAATGTAATGACTGTAACGATCACCAGAGGCTGGAGGAGCACAGAGTGCAGCAGGGAGGACAAGACCATGAAGGCAGATGATGTGTTAATAACACAGGATTACCATCGTGGTCAAAGGAGACGTGGTCAGTTCACACTGCAGCCCAAGGCAGACCTAATCCAAATCCACTGAATCCAACCAAATCTGACCTATTTGTCCACATGTGACCCACATCTGATTTTAAATTCCATGACTCCTAGAAAACCAACACAGGCCACTTTCATATGTGGTCCTCAAATGGAACCATATACAGAGTCTTTCCTAGAAAAACGTCATTAAAGTAAGACAGAAAGAACAAGATTGGTAAACTTTCACTTCAGTTACAGGCAAGTGGCTACAGGGGAGCAGTTACCTGAGGTTAAGGAGTTAAAAGCTGGAGAGTGGTCAGGAAAAACTACAACGGTTTTCATTATAAGTTTAGTTACACAACTCAATGTAATAAAACTGGTGAAAAGGTGTTGGGGGTACAGTAAGTATCACCACTTTCTGAATCTGTTCATGTTTAAGGAGAAGGTTTATTTGGTAAGGAGTACTACAACTTTCAGAAATGGATTTGTTAAAGTACATGTTTGATTTACCTGCAATTTCCTCACTCTCTACTCAACCCTCACTGTCTAAAAGCGTTCAGTTTCTCCCTTTCTGATGTATACTTATCATTTTAAAATCAAACATTTTGTTAAAATTGTGAACCCAATCTTAATAAATCCTGCGCAGAGACCAGTGGTGTAAATAATTAGGTGACATTTGCTGCCCCAGTGGTGAACCTGATCTATGCAGTGCATCAGTAGCACTGAGCTAATCATAGTCTTTACAAGTCTGCCTTCAGGAAAGGAAAACTCTCCACTGGCTTCTGAGTGCAGATGTTACAGCATAAGTCATCACCATGATACTCCTGGTTGGAGACAGAGTGGTGCCAGCAGGAAACGATGGAAAACAGAGGGGGAAATTCTCAACCACGCAGAGGCAGCAGCATGAGCAGAGAACCCAAGAAACTCTTCTTACCGGCCTGTTTCATCAACTCCCCTTTAATGAACTCCTCTCTAACCAGTCCTGATCTGGGCCAGGCTGCTTTCATGACAAGGAAGAAGACCAAACAAAGACGTTTCTGTCTTTAGTCTAACCTAACTGACTCCTCCAAAAACAACAGCCACTCAACCTTCCTGTGAAGGTGTCTGATTACAGGTGATCACCTCTGTGATTTCACTGAATTTACATAAACTTAATTTACTATTGCCACACTTTCTACTTCCTTTCTTTTCCACTTCACACAACTAATGATCTAATATATAATTAACAAGTTTATACTTTGGGAAAAAAACTTATCAAGCAAGAAAAAAGACAATGACTGTTGGTGAAAGTTACATAATTAGTCTTAACAACATTATTTGTGGGTCTGGATGATGCAGTAGTAGAGGATGACGCACAGTCGACCTCTGTCTCCCAGAGCGGCCACACAGTTCACTAATGACCGATGTCTAATAACTGCTGCAGCCTCTCATCTCATCCTCAGCTGACCTTCGCCAGCTTCTGCTCTGAAATTTGTTTTGTTTTGTCTCCACTAATTTTTTTTTTCTCCCACCAACATCATCATCACCATCCCTCACCTCAGTCACTACAGTGTGGGTTTAATCTTCACAGTTTAAATAGAAATCCTCCATCTACACATCCATCCACAGTGCACACAGATACAGTCACCAGGCAACACTGCCATTCACTGCAGGTGTTACTTGTAATAGTGAAAGAACGGAAAGAATTACAGCATGGAGCATAAGAAAAGGACTTTCATGACTTGAACTGTGCGACTTGTACAACAACCTAAATGTGAAATTACTGAAAGACCAACAGTATTGATGACACAGGACTGAGGAGAAGTTACAGCAGAGAATTCACACCAGTGGAATGGATCCTCTGCTCACTCTATCGCTGTTTCTTTCCATTGAAAACACAGTGTGATAATCCATTACTACATAATCTTGTCATTTACTGCACTTATACTCATAAAGGTAAGGATGGGGGTACAGCTTAAAGGGAACAGCTTACTGTTGCTGCAGCCAGAAAAACAAACAAACATTAAAGCCAACAGTTCATTCAGCCTAACAGTAGTGATGTACTGTATATTATCACTAATTCAGATTGTACGCACTTATTACTGGGAACATAAATAATGGCTGGAACAAAGGGAGGGAGATGAAACGGTTTACCAAGCCTGTGGCTCTGTCCCTTCACATAAAAAAATATTTACAGCTCAGTGTTAAACCTCCACAGGAAAGCATTAGGAAGAAATAAAATGCAAATTAGCATTTAAGGCAAGTCTATCAGTGACAACCGACCACATGAAGAAGTTTTGCTAAAAGGATCACAAGGACAAATGAGCTACTGGTGACTTACAGTACATAACCGTTGAACTAAGAGTCATTATCTATCTACAGTATATGTTCTGGAGACTGGGTTGGATTCTAGGCAGTGCTCCTTTGCAGAAGAAGCAGAAGCAAGAATATATAATTAAATACATGAATATATATATATATATATATATATATACACACAAACATACAGTATATATATATGTGTGTGTATGTGAGCATGTCAATGTGACTTTAGTTAACATCAATGAAACACCTCTCTATTGTGTCTTCTGTTACACGTTCATTAATGTTCTAGTCGTGTCACATGACAAAAACATGAATCCTGTTCAGCTTTACTATGGACATCGACATGTCTGTCATTAATTATTAAAAACCAAAAGAAACACGTACATGTAAGAGTGTAAGTGGATCATGGAATACATCTGAACGTATAACTGCAGCTACTACACGTGTGAACAAGGGTGTGAATGACAAAGGACGGCAGCAAACGTGGTGGACAGAAGGACAGAGCTCCAGCCTCTGTTCCCCCTCACAGAAAAGCCTGTTCAGGTCGCCACTTAAATCTTTAACCAGTGTTTCCTTGGAGGGAACACAATCAATTACCATCCAGTGAGGTCACCAGACCAAAACGGGCCAACGTGGTTAATTATATGCAGGAATAATGGCTTGATAATGAAGTTAGGACCATTCCCTGACAGTCACCTTGACACATGGTGGAGAAGCTTTGGTGGGCCTGTCAATCACTCTGTGTGTAGAAATAACCACACGGAGGGACACAGACTGGTTTCACTCTCTGGGTGTGTGTGTGTGTGTGTGCGTGTGTGTATGTGGCTACTTGGAGACCTTTTGTCCTTGTGAGAGCATTGCTGTCAAATACCCTTGTGCAACGCACTCATAAGTGAACAACAACAGATCCTGTTTATGGTTATAGGATGTCAATATAGTGTTGGGTAATTTAATTACACTCCTGTCTGTATGGAAGCCAGCTGCTCCTCCTGAGCCTGCAGCTAATGGCATATTAATCCTTAAGGCAAGGCTTAAGTAGACATAATAGAAATTAGTAGGTTCTCAAAAAGAATGTCAGCCGTGAACAAATCACGGAGGAGCAGAATGGTTAATATGATTGAATTTAGAATCACAAAATTATAAATGATAGCTCTGGGAAATATAGCTGCTTTAGTCACTACACCACATACAGGAAATACCTAAAAGTAATAAAAGAAAGAAAAAAATAACTATATATAGGCTTTTTTCCTACCAGCTCTTTTGAACCTGTCCAGCAGATTTAGTCTGACACTTCTCTGTAGGTTGAAATAGTCGTCCTCCTCGTCAGGGTTTTTCAGGTACAGCGGGATGTGCTGGAAAACCAGGACATGTTTGGGTTTGGGTCCCTGAATGGAACAAAGATACTGTTAAGGATGAGAAGGAAACCAAAGTGCAGGGACAAATTTTAATCGTTGCAGCGGTTATTAAAGAAATGGGGCACAGACACATCATTAGGAGCGTATTATCATTACACAAACTCTTCCATATATCCACTGGGAGTCGTGCTGTGGACGCCAACCTACCACAGAGGATGTGGCTCTGCTCAGCTGCTCCTCCAGCCACGTCTCCTGAGCCTCCTTGAGCTGAGGACAGGCTGACGCATCATAGAACAACTGGGAGTTCAGGACCAGACAGAAGACACCGCCTACCTGAGAAAACAGGCCCATGAGGAGAACGATGGTGGAATATGGAGTAATTATTGTAAACATCTGCATAAACACACTTGACTCACAACAAGGTGATTTTGATGGTTAACTTCATGTGAGGTTAATATTGAACTCGTGCATTTTATAAAAATTATATGAGCTAGCTTAAAAAACTAAAACATGGCACGATGTAAAAGTGAAACCATCTGTCTGTCAAATCAGATGTAGTTATGAATATGTACATATGACTAATTTCATAATAAAAAAAAAGTTTTTTAACCGTAACCTGACCTAAAAGTGTCTGGTTTTGGTCAGTAACAGGAGAAGTGAACCACGAGTGTGAACACATCCATTATGTGAAAGGTAACTTTTTACCCAGAAGCTGAAGTAGTCGTCTCCCCAGGCTGTGCAGTACTGGTCCACTGAACTGAGGGTGGGAGTGTTGCCCAGGTCATGGTTTCCACTGACAAACACCAGAGGGATGGAGGGATCTGTGGCCTTCAGGACAGCCTTCAGGTCCCTTACTTGACTTTCCCTAAAGGGCGTGCCTGTCAGGAAACATAGGGAGGTCAGCGTGTGTCTTTGTGACAAATGTGGTAGTGGTGGTTAGAGCTCCCACCGAGGAAAAACACGACAATATCGACTTAAACAGCCGGAAATTGAGGATGAATAAGATAAAAGTGAGACAAACCGAAGGACAAAAAATTATAATGGTGTTGATAACAATACATACATATATACATGTATATATGTATGTCAGAATATGTGTGTGAAGGCTAGTGAAGGTGAGAGTCGCCTACGGGAAGACAGATCATTGGGGTGATAATGATGACGGCTGAGAAAATGATCAATGCTCTGCACTGCTTCACTTTACATTACCATGGTTACCGAACCGATAAGTGTTGTTCTGGTGGAACCTTCACTGGTCAGGGTGGGAAACAACCACCTTTTTGGGCTCAGTAAGTGCACAGGGCCACAGAACTTGTCAAATCTGTTCTTCTGAGATACATGAGGCGACGAGTTCTAGAGAGAGTACCACACTTTGTCTGTGTGTGGTGCTAAACTCGGCCATGCGGCTTTATTAGGACTGAATTGGACTGGAGAAGACGTCTGGGAATGAAGAGGGAGACAAATTAAATCAGGCCCAGCGTGTGTTAAGAGCAGAGAATTGGAGAGACTCAAGCACATTTATAATTTAGAATATATATCAAACAAACTTACTGGGCCAAGCTTTCAAGGTATTCCTTCATCTCCCTCCTCACTACCTCTCCTTTTTTCTTTTCCTTTTTATTCATCTGAGTAATTATTTTTACTGGCCTAGTTTTAGAGCAAACAACTCCTTGGATGTTTGGGAGAGAAAAAAAAGAACTCATTACATTAAGAGCTTTCTGACAGAACATCCTGTGTAAAGCAGGGCGTGAGAATGCAAAATTTAAAAGCTATCCAGATGAAAAGGTAGAAGGTTGTTTTTAACAGGCTCCATTTTATGTCCACAGACGTGCACTCAAAGGCAATGGGTGACAGAAACTTCACTCTTAATTTGTTGAAGTTTTTGTGTTCTACTTCATTTGCACAGAGATCTTTGATGCCCTCGTGTTTTACAAGGAGCATTTCACCAATGTGTCTCAATATAAGCCCTGCATTTTTCACATCACAGAAGTCAACAGTCACAGACTGGCACCGTACATAAACTCCCATGGTACTTTAAGCATTGTGAAAGAACATTTTGTGCTAAATTTGGCAAAAAAAATACAATTTAGCCATGGACTAATAGTTTCACCTGAGCGACACTTTTGGCTGGGTGTCCTTTGAAATGAAACTGTGGTCTTGTTTTCAGGGAGAGGGTTGGAATGTTTTGGGGAGAGAACTCAGGACGACGTTATAGGTGGATGAAAGGTTGTGTTTCAAACCACCTCCTCTGTTGAGAGGGAAGACGGATGGTTTGAGAGAGGGGTAAAGGAAGCCATCTAAGTCAATCTGGAGAAACCATCTCTCTCGACTGTTTTTCAGGGATTTCTTTAGAGGATGTCTTTATGCTGTTTTTTTTAATGTTTAAGTCAATTGCAAAAAAAACATTTAAGCAAAGCTTAAGTTCAAGACAATTTCTAATGCAATTTTGTACCCTTAAGAGTGTATTGGGTTGAGGGAAGTTAAGGTCCTCACATCAGTTGGTTTTTCTACCATAAATCATCCAACCATGGAAAATCTCCTGGTTCAGTCCCCAGTTGTTCCTGATAAGATCATCATTTGCACACCTTTCTTTTCAATAAACCCTTCAGGAAAAGCACCTGACCTCTCCAGTGAATCGACTCCAAGGCTGAAGACATAAAAAGTGTTTTGCTTGAATCACCCCAGCATACACGGCTAATTATTGATAGTGATGCAGGGTGGAGCTCATTAGGAGAGTCGGGCCACAGCACACTTGCTTCAGATAAGACAATGTGAATAAACAAAGTGACAGCCACGAAGCAGCAAGGACAATCTGCTGCATTACTTGTTTTTCCAGCCTTTTCCTGCCTGACTAACAGAGCAGCAGAGTCTGTGAATCATCCGTTAGCACCATGTGGTTCCAACCAATGCTCAACCATAAAGCAAGACATCAATCTGCATCCTGCTTAGCATTAGGGCAGTATACCCATTTGAGTAATTGGTAGTATAACATTAACCTGTCAAAGCCTGTTAGGATTAATAGCACCTGCTCTGCTGGAAGGGATCGTGTGCACACTTGATGTGTACTAACTAATATCTTCTAAAGTATTGCGTACATCATTGTATGAAACATTATTTTAATGCCGTCCTTTCCTCACTCTGCTGTTCTCTTGTGAAATCAGAAATGCATTTACTGAGTAGTGTATGTAGAAGCAAAAAAAACAAAAAAAAAAAACAATGCTGCCCTCAGCTCTCTGGAGCTCTGACAGAAAGGCCTTGTTCGTTTAATGAGATTGCAACACTGTGATTCTCAAACCCTGACAGGAGACTTTGGCAGGTTCTCGTTGAGCTTGTCGAACGCTGTAAGCACTTCGCACCATTTACTCTTAGGGCCGACTGTCGACGCTGCACACAGGCTTCAGTGCGTGGGGTCTTGCTGTCGCATACATTTTCTCTCACTTAAACAACTTTATTTTCAACGTGTGGGGACCACTATATTTGTGACTCAGTCATGTGTGCGCTGACACTGACAGGTTGTGCTGATGTAGCGCTCATCTCTACTCTGGTATGACAAGGCAGTGGCTGTCGTACAGTCGGATTAGCTCTTTCAACGCACAGCGTTCTGCAGTTTCAAACAGATTCAGGTTTGTTTCAGAGAATGTTTGGAGGGTGAATAGACTGTATATGTCTATATACTGTATGTTTATGTGAAATATAGAAGAATGAAGATTTATCATGATGTATTCACTCTTGCACCATAAACTATATTTAGAAAACCACCAGTTTTGGTCGTTTCTCTTCTCTTCGTCTGTCTTTATCGTCACCCTTCTTTGCCCCCCCCCTCCCCCCAACAAATATTAACAATCCCATTGTAATTTGGGATTCCTGGCTTTGCAATCTGTAGTCGACTTTACAAATGCACACGTCAACTGAGTAAGGATTGAGTAATGGTTACAACTGCCGCTTTCAAATGTACAACAAGGAGTACTACAGACCATGTCTATCAAAGTTCCTTACTTCACAGCCGCATAAGCTTCATAAATGGGAAGTAAAATGTCTTTGACGTCAATTCCAGTTACCAATGA